TTGGAGCCCTCAAATCGAAGATTTGGACAGTGGACTAGGCTCCAAACACACAAACACATCTTAGCAGTCAAATATAAACACCACCTACACTTAAGTTTGACATTGCCCTCAATGGCAAAGAGGGAAAGATAAGGGGAACGATGTTGCCGGGAAAAATAGACTGCATCAGGACTGGAGAATGGACCAGTCGACGAGGATACTGGAAGTGGGACCATTGTGACAAGAACACGAGCTAAGACAAAAAGAATCACTCGAACACAGAACCGTTAGGAAGTGTTTTCAGCCCAATGGCACAATATCCAAAAGAAAAAGAAGAAAAAAAATCAAACACTAATAATCCAGAGAGGTGGAGCCCACGAGTACAGCCTACTCGAGGCGGTCGAAGTTGATGTTTTTCATGATTGATGACTCGGTATTTGCACATGTTTTCCCCTTTGTTTCTTGATTGTTTCAGCTTGAATTATCGTGTCTTTGGCCTATTTTATGCTAGGTTGTGTTCCTTTGTTACATTTCAGGTCCTAGCACATAAAGTGAAGCATAGGCGCAAGTTTCAAGTCAATCAGAGATCAATTGACGATTCGGGAGAAGAAACTCGGGTATGACCTGAAGAAGAATGGATTTATACCTCACTTTATGGACAAAGAATCATGCAAGCTTGCCATGAAAAGAAAGAGGACGAGACTACCAGCGTCTGGGATCAAACGGCGACTGATTCGGATTCCGGACGAGGGAGAAACGAAGCATTAAACAGAGGCTGAGCAAGCCACACGGGCACAACCCACACGGCCGTGCAAGGGGCACTTTTGCCCGTGTGGAATTCACCGAGCCTTCACACGGGCAGCTGGGAAAGCCACACGGCCGTGTGGCCTGGCCGTGTGAGTCGGGAATTGATGTTTAAAACCCGATTTTCAGCAAAAGGAAAGGGGGAGAGCTGGGTTTTGGATCCCAAACACCCAAAGGACGAACCCTAGAGAGAGAGAGAGCGACTTGGAAACATTCTTGGAGCTATTTTGGAGGATTTCTTCGCCATTGGAGCTCGGGAATCAAGCTTGGAGATGGAGATTGAAGATCTAGATCAGATTTCTGCAGTCTCTCTCTTCTCTATGGAGTAACTTCCCTTCACTTAGGTTTTGAGGAACCCTAGTTCCATGAGTTAGGATCTTTCTTGTATGAAGTTTTGGATGCTTTATTGTTTGATTATAATCGATTGAGGCATGATTTATTGAGTCAATTGAATCTTGATCAAATTCTCTTGATTTCTGCTTTAACCTATGATAGATAGAATCTGATTAGGTTAAGAGAGCTTCCTTGATTGATAGTGGTGAATTGGTTATACGAGAGTTAGTCAATCTACTGCTTTGTACTGGAATCCAATTCCGGTAGTGGAGTTCTGTGTTCATAGCCTCAGCTTTCTATCCTGGTGAAGACTAGTCGTCTGTCGGGTAGTTGGACTGAGAGGGCTTGGTCAGCTTAAGAGATTCCAAGCTAATTTAGGATCTTCCGCAGTTTAATCAACAGTAGATCAACCAAAGGTAATTGCAACTTGGACCTAATTGAGGAGCTAGGGTCCTGGTACTCCATCATCCGACGGTTATGGACCAGCTCATGCTCAATATGAGTGAGGGTGACTCCCTACTTAGTCTCGATGCGGTCAAGACGCTTGTCATAAGCAACCATTTACTCAGCCTGATGGGTCGCGTACTATTGCTGGAACTAGCGCCGGTGATCCATGAGCTGCTGGTTCTGTAGACCTAGCTTCTGAAACTGGAGACCCATCTACTCGAATTGGTCGGTGAAAAATTTCATCGACAAAACAGAAGGACCGGAGGTAGACTTGCCTTGTTCGGATCTTCGTCGTGGAGGAAGATCCCTAGACGGGGATAGCGGAGGCTCCATCTCGTCCGCATCCATAGCCCCACCACCACTATCACCATCATCGTCCTCGGCTTCCTCCTCCTCCTCGTCATCATATTCCTTATCATCCTCGTCGTCCTCATCAGTAGTAGAGGGAAGGGAGAGTCCGCCGACCCACTCCCAATCATCAGCAAAGGCTAACAACAAAGCGTTATGAAGCACGTCCTTCCTGAAGGGATGAGAGCCATACTGGACCGTGGAGTAGGTCAAGCCACGAAAGTCCACCTCGAATTGGCCGCCAAGCGGGTGATAAGCGAACCAAAAAAAAGGTAGGTGGGCTTTGACTCCTCCTGATTGCCACAATAGAAATTCCAATCTTACGACCGTGAACTGACTCAGCGTTAGTAACCTCTGGAAACTCTCTGGACCCTTTTCAGTTCGCATTTTGTGGCTCCAGTGCATGGTCTTGATGATTTTCAACTCACTGCTTGGACCGTGAACTGCGGCTGCTTCCTCCTCTTTTCCTGATCCTCACGCCTTTTCCTCCAACTTTCGACTCAGGGGTTGGTTCCACTTGTTAGACTCACAAAATTGAAACACAACGAACCTACCGTAAAACCACCCTTTTTGGAGCTCAAATGGCACAAACGCCAAAGAGAAACGGGGATAAAAAGTGTACATTTAGGCCCAAATCAGTATTTTGTCTAAGAGGGCTTGGTCAGCTTAAGAGATTCCAAGCTGTTTTCGGATCTTCCACAGTCTAATCAACAGTGAATCAACCAAAGGGATTTGCAACTGAACCTAACTAAGGAGCTAGGGGGATTCATTCTCGAGTGACTCTTCTCTTGCTTCAGAAAACCGGACGATTTACTACTTTCTTTCTGCTTTAGTTTAAACTCATTTTCACTAGACTTTCCCCGCTAGATAATAGATAATCACGGTGTAGACAATACATCTAGGCCTCAGGTTGACATTTATTACTTGATTCCACTATACTGCATTTCCATTCTACGATTATACTTGGTCGTAGTTTGGTGTTGTGTCCTATCGAGTCAACAATCACAATCATAGATTTGTCACAAGTAACAACAATCAATCCAAGACCTAGAACTAGGGTTCATCAACCTAAGTAAACAGGTCTAGTTCAGAGAGATTACTATATCAAGCTCAAATTCTTTCATCTTCTTCTAATAAGGGATGATCTTCAAGCTCCAACGGGGATTGGCACCTCAAAATTAGCTCCAACTACCCTCCTATACCTCTCTTTCTCTCTATCTAGAAACTCATCTTTGGTGTTTTGGGTCAAAACCCTAAGGAAAACCAGGCTCTCCCTCTCAAACCCCGCAACTGCCTATTTATATGCTCGACAGTGAATACTTCACTGTCAAACTTCACGGTCGTGATATAAATAAGAAAACCATGATCTTAGCTGAAAATGCACTTTTTTGCATACTTCACGGTTATGTTGTTATTATCATGATCTAGGACCGTGATCCTTGTAATGCCCGCGAGGCATGCAAAGGCTACTAGAAATTGCACACTTCACGGTTTTGGTGTGATTTCCATTCCCTTAGGGCGTGATCCTAACACCCACCTCATGAACCTTGCACAAACTCCACTTTTTGGCTTGTTTTGACCTCTGAATGTCCCGAAACTCATCACTAACCTTCCTACACATGCTAGGACCTTAAATGTGATAAAAGAGGAACAACCTAGCGTAAACTGGGTTGAGGAACAAAAATTACCAATTCAAACAATCAAGATATGAAGAGGTAAAACATTTATAAATACGCTCGAATCAAGTACGACAAAAATCGACAAGGAAACCATGGTGTCATATCCCTCTTCAATATTCTTTTTTCCTCCTCTATTTATAGATAATTAAGTTCTTTGATTGTTCAGATTATGTAGAACGAAAAAAATCGACAAGGAAACCATGGTGTCATATCCCTCTTCAATATTCTTTTTTCCTCCTCTATTTATAGATAATTAAGTTCTTTGATTGTTCAGATTATGTAGAACTCTAGGACTGATGGATTGATTTTGTTTATGTGGTGTTGTGTTGATCTTTGTGGATGGATTCATGTCAATACTATTGATCTTTAAATACAACCCTTTACCATGCATAATCGTAGTGTAGTAGAACTTGAGTTTTGAGTACCAAAATTAGTCATTACTGAAATCTTCTAGGGGTGGGCAACGGGATGGGACGGGATACCCGTCCCGTTTTAAACGGGTACCCAGTCCCATTTGGAGACCAAACTCCATCCCATATCCCAAACTCATATGGGAAACGGGTACCCATTACCGGTACGGGACGGATAACGGGTACCCATACTACCCATAAATACCCAAAGTTTAAACCACTAAAATTTTAACAAAAGTTTAAACTTAACTTGTATTTGCTTAACAATCACAAGCAATGTAGTAAAAAGCGAGTTTCTACATAGAAACGTTTTGGTGATCTAGAAGCGTAAAATCGTAAGTTTTTAAGTTTTAAAGCGGAGTTTTTAACTACATAAGTTATAAAAACTGAGATTTTGTGTTGAAGCGTTGTAGTGACCTAAAAACGTAAAATCGTAAGTTTTTAAGTTTTAAAACGCGATTTTGACTACATTGATCACAAGACACAAAATACATCCCAATCATAAATACTTGGTTTGCAAATTACACATTCATGAACAATCACAACACATAGAAATAAATCATTCCAAGTACCAAATTATATATAAAAAAAAGTTTCATTCAACACATCCCAACTCTCTCTACTAATTCACCAAACATGTCAGTGAAAGAGTGAAAGGGTAAGGGCCTAAATGGAATTGAAATTGAAAGGGTAAGGGCCGAAATGGCCAATGGGTTTTGAATTGGGTTGAGCTGAATTAAATTTTTGCATTTGTATTGAATGGGTATAACGGGTACCCATATTACCCAAACGGGTATTCGCGGGTAACCCGTGGGTACCCATATTAGGAATGTTCAATCCCAAGTCACATCCGTTTATAATATTACGGGTAATATGGGTACCCGTAACCCTTAAAAAACGGGACGGGTACGGGTATACCCAAATACCCGTTTCCCGTTGCCCACCCCTAAAATCTTCAAACATTATCTTAAATAATATAACAAAGATAATTTCTTAGGGCGCGCATATGATTAGATGCTATTATTATAAAACACATAGCATCTATCCATTCTTTTAACCACAATCAGGAGCAACATTCATATAGAATATATAAATACAATTGGATCCGAAATCATTATCTTACTTAGGGTGCTCAACAATTCCATACAAATTATCCTTAATAAGATCAATGTCCACACTAGTAGCCTCAAAGAACCTAAAGCTTGTGGCTTCAAAAGAATCACTTTCCATATCATCCACCTTAAATTTCTCAAGACTAACTCCATGATCTCCATTAGTAACAATGCTTTGTGACGATTCTCCGAGTTTCTCGATAGACCGAGTAGAGCAGCGCAATGATCCCCCAGGAGCCACTCTGGTAGTTAGGAACAAACCCTCTTGCAACTCGTAACACACCTCGGCCATCGTAGGCCGATTTTTGGGGGTCTTCACTACACATCTTAGGCCAAGTTGCCCCATCTTCAACATCATCTCCATGTTGCAGGGTTGTATCAATAAGTTAGCATCCAATATATCTTCAACATCTCCCTTCTCTAAGTATGGTCTTGCCTGCATACGTATGTATTCATTCCAACCCCAAATTTGTACTTAACTTTAGCCAAGCTAACATAATGGGTTTTTAAATGGGGCCAGTTTGAAGCAATAATAGTTAAATTCATAAGAACATGCTTACGGTCTTAAAGTAAAAAATATATTTAAAAATTCATTAAAAAACAGAAGTTTCATATCTGAAAAAATTGCTAGCATGTGCCATAAGCAATGCTAACCCAGCTGGTTGATTATGAAATGTGCATATATAAAATTAATCAATTAAGCTTAGCTTACCCAGTCAATGACATGGTAATTGGAATTCCTTCTGGATGCGTCGACTGCAGGCCGAGCGCTAACAAGCTGCAGAAGGATCACCCCGAAACTATACACATCACTGAAATGGCTCAAGTGGCAACTTGAACAATATGCAGGATCAAGGTATCCAGCAGTGCCTTTGATCTGGGTGCTGACGTGGGTCTGGTCCCCTGTCGGCCCTGATTTTACCAGCCCGAAATCCGAAACCTTGCTCTCAAAGTCCTCCCCTATCAGGATGTTGCTAGGTTTGATATCACGGTGGATTATGCTTGGCTGGATTCCGTCGTGCAAGTGAGCTATTCCTGCAACCAAGCAAGCAAAAGTTATATCTAATTTCTCAGTTGGTTCACAGTGTATGCATCTGACTGGGAGCTATCTTTCAAGTACGATCAAGACACAAACTTGGTGCAGCTATATTAATTGGGTAGTACCTTTAGCTGCACCAATGGCTATATTCACCCTTTGCTGCCAAGTTAAGTACTGCCTTCCTCTTTTACCTGTCATGTACTCCAGCAAAGAACCATTGGGTGCATACTCATAGACCAGTATTGTGGCTCCTCCTGTTGTTGATCCAGAAAAAAACCAGTACTTAGCTTGCAGTCTTGAATTAGATTGCATATATAAAGCCATTATGCGCATTCGATTGTTGGGGGATTAACTGAAACCTTCACCTGTTTCTTTACAGAATCCCACCAAGGAAACCAAGTTCCTGTGCCTGACTTTGGAGAGTAGAATCACTTCTGTTTCATGAAGAAAAAAGGAAAAAACAGAATGAAATAAATGCCTGATTCATAATTCACATGATCTACATCCTTCTTCTTACCGTTCAGGAACTCCTCATCACTCAGGAAAGAATTTGGATGAGCTTTCTTGACAGCCAGAGTAATCCCTTCGTCTTCGAAGAACCCTTTATAAACATTGCCGAAAGCTCCAGAACCCAACAAACGCTCCTCACTGAAGTTGTTTGTAGCCTTGTCCAGCTCCTCCAGCTGAAACCTCCTCAGGTTCAGTTTCTCGGCTTTTAAGCTTCCTAAGACAACCAACTATTCCATCCATCAATTTGAAGATGAATTGAATCGTACGAATCAAGTGAAACCCACAAACTAAGCTGAACTGAAAATTGTAAAAAAGTTACCTTTTCTCCGCTTCACAATTCCATCCCCGAAAAGCCTCTTCCTGCAAGCTACAGCGAGTGCGACAACCACCAACAGAGCTGCTATCCCGACCACGAGACCCAACCACAAGTATCTCATCGCGTGCCTCGAATCACCGCCGCCTGATCTATGGGCCGGATTATCGCGCCGGAAATGTTCCCCCGACGGCTGTTCTGCCGCGAACAACCCATTGGTCCGCTGTTTGACGGGAGAACTTGTGAAAACAGGGAAGGAAGATAGAATGCCGGTATCGACTGGTGGAAGACCAGGCGAACTTGCAGGTCGCTCCGCCATTAGAATAACGAACCTGGATGACATAAAGTCATACTCGGCAGAGATCTCGGCTGCATATTCGGCAAGCTGGGTGATTTATTGCCAGAATTAGAGGGAATAAGGAGAAGAAGATGATGAATGCATTTTTGATTCATTCGAGAGGGAAAAGACAAGGATTGATTGCTCCTGCTGCTACGGAAAGGCCAGCAGATGCGGGAAGAATGGGTTTTCACCGTCATGAGATGAGAGGTAGTTGATTTGATTGGGATAAGAAAGAGGTGGGAAATTTACGATGATGACAACAAAAAAAAGTGTTGCTGCCGGCCTAACTACCTCTAATATGCAACCAAATTTGTGTTTTGTTACCACGCGCTGTTGTTGACGATTTCTCCCAGTGACTCTCGCGGACACAGTAGAGTATAATACTAGTTGGAGACTGACAGAGTATTTGATCCCGAGTTAGGATGCTAGCACCTAATTTGTTAGCACTTAGCATGCTATATATTTGAGATTAAGAAGGCTTATCGTGTTAGATGGCAGAATGGAAAAAGGAGGCTTGAGCACTGGCGGATCCAGGGGTGGCCACCCCGGGCCCCGGCCCAGCCCTCTTCTGGATCCGGAGTTAGTATAGTCTTTATGAATTTTTCGATTTTAGTTATTCGGCCCAGTTTTATTTTATAATAAGATTGAGTGTAACTAGAAAAGTGATTCAAATTAACATATTCAAATCACTACTATAAATTTAGCCTAGAAATTCTAGCTCCAAAGATTATTCTTCTAAAAAAACAATGAAATCTAAAATTCTAAAAGTCTAAAACAAAATAGTATAAGAAATATGAGTTTTGTTCCCTGAAAATTTACTAAAGCAGCTAGTGGAGAACCTTTTCAACAATGAAACATATGAAAACTGATTTGTGCAACAAAACAGCGATGAATTTATCGCCGATTACTCGAGTATTTTATTTAAAACAGTGTATACTATTGGTATGGATGTGGACTCCATTATTGATGTATTCGCTAAATTAAAATATCGTCGTGTATAATTTATATTGTAAAAAAAACTATAATATTTTTTTACGGTCCTAATTTTCTAATGAAATGCGGCCCAGTGCTTTTCTGCGTTCTGGATCCGCCGCTGGGCTTGAGAGACATGCACAAATTCAGTACATTTTGTCAAATGGGTTAAGTTGAAACTTAAAAAAGGCATGGTGGCATAGGTCAATCTCTACCGAGTATAGAGGAGGCACTTCTCAATGGAAAATTGTTTGGGACCTAGGTGGTGAAGAATGTCTTTATAGATATGGATTGTCAATGAGAGCTCCAATTTTTGGAAATTTGGCTTCGTTGATCTTGGGGTGGATGTCTATTTTGGTTGATGTCTGGTTCACAAATAAACACTTGGTGAGCGAGTTGCCAAAGGTGGCGAACTGCGTCCAATCATTGGTTGAGTTTGTTGCTTACTGTTTGTCTGGGGATGATATATGGAATATCTTGCCACATGACCTTAGTCGTGGTGGCGAGAAAGGAAGGTTGTAGCTTTTTGCCTTCTTAGATTCCAATCCATAGACATGGGTGTCATCAGGACCAACTACCCTATCATGCCGAATGCAAAAATGACCGCCAACAACTCTTTTACAGTGGTGATGTAATTCTCTTGAGCCCCATTTAGAGTATTTGAAGCGTAGCAAATAGGTTGAAAGTATTTTTCTTTCCTTTTCCCCAACACTACTCCCACTGCATAATCGCTTGCTTCACACATCAATTCAAAGGGTATATTCTAATCTGGCGGAACCATGATTGGAGCATTGGTGAGTTTCTTCTTCAGAATTTCAAATGCTTCAAAACATTCATTCGCGAAGACAAATGGTGCGTCCTTCTCAAGAATCTTCGTCAATGACAACGCAATTTTTGAGAAATTTTCTATGAAACATTAGTAAAATCCCACATCCCCAAGCAAACTCTGGATCCCCTTGATGGATGTTGGAGGTGGACGCTTGCTTATGGTATCAACCTTTGCTTTGTCAACTTCAATACCCTTCTTTGAAATCTTGTGTCCTAACACAATGGCTTCTCGAACCATAAAATGCGACTTCTCCCAACTCATAGCCAAATTAGTTTATTCACACCGTGCAAGCACTTTCTTAAGGTAGCCAAGATAGTAAGAAAATGAATTCCCAAAAACCGAGAAATCACCCATGAAGACTTTCATGATCTCTCTCACTAACTTGTCAAAAATAGCCACCATGCACCTCTAGAATGTGGTCGGAGCATTGCATAAACCAAAGGGGATACGCCGGTAAGCTAAAGTACCAAAAAGGCATGTGAAGGTTGTTTTAGCTTGATCCTCAGAGGAGATCGGAATCTGAAAGTATCCAGACATCACATCCAAGAAGCAATAGTCATGCCCTGCTAATCTTTCAAGGATCTCATCAATGAAGGGTAATGAGAAATCATCATTCCTAGTAGTGCCATATAGTCGTTGATAATCAATGCAAACACGCCATCCTGATATAGTCGTGGTAGGAATGAGCTCCTCCTTCTCATTTTCCACCATTGTTTACCCCCCCCCCTTCTTAGGCACTGATTGTTTACCCATTGACTGTCAGAGATGGGGTAGATGATCCCGACATCCAATAGCTTGATCGCCTTTGTTTTCACCACTTCTTCTAGGTTAGGATTCACCCGGTTTTGAGGTTAACGAACCAGTTTAACATCGTCCTCCATGAGCATCTTATGAGAGCAGAACAAAGGACTAATCCCTTGAATATCGATGATCTTCCATGTAATTGCCTTCTCATGCAACCTCAAGAGTTCCACCAAATCAGTCTTCTTCTCCGAATTGAGGTTGGAGCTAATGATAACAGGGAGCTTGCACTCTTCCCTCAAGAAAGCATACTTAAGGTGGCTAGGAAGTGGCTTCAACTCTAACTCTGGTGGTTATTCCAAAGAAGTGGGGATCTTGGATGTTTGAGGTAGTTGCTTTACCTCTAATTCTTGCACGAACACTTCAAATTCATCTACACTTGTAAGATGATCCTCCTCCTGCAATTCCTCCAAGCCATTTGTCCTTATCACAAAACAATCCTCAAAAGCATCACCAAAACTAGCACCCTCGTATACGTGTGCCGCAACATAATTCGATACTTCTTCACAGTGATCCACATCATCATGCAAACATGAGTTTTTCATGCTATCAGCAATGGAGAAAGTTATGTTTTCACCTTCTGCTCTTAAACCCAATTTCCCTCCATGCACGTCAATTAAAGCATTGGCGGTGGCCAAAAAGGGTATACCCATAATAAGGGGAATGCCAACACATCGTTGATATCGAGGATGAAGAAATCAAACAAATATATGAGCGCTCCAACCTTAACAAGTAGATCCTCGACTATTCCTTTGGGATGCACAATAGACTTATATGCTAGCTATATGCTCATCCTATTGGCACTAGGTTCACCTATGTCTAACTTTTTGAATATTCTACACGACATCACATTGATGCTAGCCCCTAGGTCCGCCAAGGACTAACATATACACATACCGCCAATAAAACAAGGAATGCTAAAACTCTATGTGTCTTTTTGCTTCACCAGAAGCTGATTCTGCAAGATGGCCGAGCATTCTTCGTTTAGGGTCACGGTGGCCATGCTTTCCATATTCTTCTTGTTAGTGATAAGGTCTTTCAAATACTTTGTGTAATTTGTCATCTGGGTGATTGCCTCAACAAATGGAATATTGAGGTGAAGCTAGGTCATCAATGCCATAGAGTAGGTAAGCGCAACCTCCAATCGAACCTTGTGCAACCGAGTTGGATAAGGGAGTGGAGAAATGACTTCCTTCTTTGGTCGTTTTATTTGAGGAATCAGATCCTCTATCCCTTTATCCAATGTGGTTGCGACCTTTGATTGCTCGATAGTGGTCGGTTGATCAGCTTGCCTCGACTTCACAATTGAATTTCTCAGAACCGGTACTTCTCTGGTTTCTTTCCCAATTTGTAGTGTCACAACATGCAGTTCAGTTTCGTTGAGTCAATTCCGAGAAATGGTAGCTTGAGTGATGATGCCCATCCGAGTGGTCAAAGTTGTCAACGTCGATTGGTGACTTTGCAACCCTACTTCAATGGATGAGAATTTCTCGGATGCCTCTCCATAAATTCTCTATCTTTTCAAACTTTTGTGAACTAGAGCTCGTGAAGGCCTTCACAAGCTCTTCAAGTGCAGAAGTTTTGTCATGTTGAGGTTGAAACGAGGAGGAAGTCATGGCTCGAGCTGGAAGTTCTTGGTCAAATGATGTTCCCCTTGACAAGGACCACTCCGTATTGTATGCATTACTAAAGGGTTGTTGTTATTGTCGACCACTTAGCATTAGCAATAAAGTTCAACTGCTCTTCCGGAATGCTCGCTTCCCTCCTAAGTTGACATTTTTCAACCTCGTGATTCGGACTTGAGAACCAATCACAAACCATAACCGGGCTCATCTTTTGCTTCCTATCATGTAAGATCACCTTGATCAACTCATATACCTTCGCCGAAAGTGGAGGGTTAGCTTCGGTGGAGTGTCTTCTCTTTCTCGCATCCTTCTCCCATGCCTTGTCGACCCCCAATCGTAGACTCTTGCGGCCATGTCTTCAAATGATGCAGTCATTTCGGGTGGAGTCTTGTTGAGCATGTTCCCTTGGCATTTTGAATCAATGAGTATATGATCTTCTTGAAGGAGACCATTGTAGAAGGTCTCGATCCGGAACTGCTCTCCAAACCTATGGTGTGGACACTGGAGAAAATTATCCGAGTACCTCTCCCATAAGTCCCTTAAAGTTTCGTTCCCCTCTTGGAAGAAATGAGTGATCTTCTTCCGGTATTCTGTCGTATTAGAAGGTGGACAATAGTGATTCATGAACTTGTTTATCAAATCATCCCATGAAGTTATTGAGAGTGGTGGCTTGTTGTTCTACCAAGTTTGGGCCTTCCCACTTAGGAAGTAGGGGAAAAGCCTCAACCTAATGGCCTCCTCGGGCACTCCATTGATCTTCAAGCCTCTCGCTAACTCGAGAAATCTCTTGACATGCTCCCATGGAGATTCATCTTCAAGTCCATGAAATTGTATGTTGTTCTAAATCATGGTGAAGAGGTCGAGCTTTATCTCAAAGGTGTTGGCTGCCACGGGCGGATGCAAGATGCTTGATTGAATATCTGCCGCTCGCGGTGCCATGTAATAGCCCATCATCCTCGCTTCATCATCTCCGTGGGTGTGTTCTTCCGCCATCTTAAGTTTCTCAACTTCAAACTCCTCTTCAAAAGCAACTTCTCCAATCTTTATTTCCCCCCCCCCCCCCCTCAACTTTCTCTACCAATCCAAGAGTCGAAGAGTTCGGTTGATGTTGTCATCTAGTGGTGTGCCAAAAGTGTCGGATCACTCCAGGTCATACACCCCCT